AAATTAGGGACGGCTAGCGCAGATAGCCCTCGTGCAGCTTTGCGCGAAATTCAAAACAAACAAACAAACTTTCAGCCGTGGGGGCATTATAATGTGGTGCCTTCCCTCTAGTCTTACACTGCTAAATTAGGGACGGCTAGCGCAGATAGCCCTCGTGTAGCTTTGCGCGAAATTCGAAACAAACAAATATACAAGTTTCAGTATTTTGAAGCCTTTAAATCTTCAAATGGTGGAGAATATATATAATCGGATAAGGTCTGAGAGATATAGTTACTTTGTTTCTGTTATTGACAAGACAAAAATCTACAAGTTGAAATACATAAAAACCAAACGTTTCGACAGATCATCGTCTTTTTCAGTGGTTTTCTAAAACCGAAATAATCGTTTGTTTGTTTGTTTTTTATTTTCATTCTTCCGCAGATCTCAGTTAACGAGCATGCGGTGGTACTCTGTTGTTATGGCAACACTCGGGTCGTGATTTATGTCTTTCGAAATGTTCTACGGTTTCTGGAATAATCGGTGATATTTGGTGCTTGTTCTTCCAATACGTTTACTCTCTGATCAGCCACACTGCCGATTTCCAGAGATTATACGATTACGTTAACACGAAACATCTTCTGTACCATATTTAATGTTGTTTTCGTGCAGCCTTAAAATTTTTGAGTAATCTCTTGAAAGTTTCTCTGTAACATGATCCGCGGCAGGCGTTACAGGGAATTTTGCGTACTCATCATAGGCAAACACAATAAAAAAAAACCTTACACGAATTTTGTATACACAATGGAAAGAAAACGATCACAAGTCTTTGTACAAAGCAGTATGCCATGCTGTCGTTATGATAGCCAGATAGTCATAGAAGTACCCTTTTACATTAACCTTTTGGCTTATTTTAGTCAAATATCAAAGTGTGTTGGTAGCGCCATCTTTTGATATATACTAATACTAATCACTAAAATGATTTAATTTTCGTTGAACGTACGTCGATTGAACGTATGGTTGCAGGTATGAAATCTTAAGGAGAATGGTGTAATTACATCCTTTTGCAGGAATCGAAAAAGCAATTATTTGTGCATTTGAATTTTGGCATAAATTAAGTGCTCGTTTGCAATTCATTACAATTGCATCGTTATTTTTCAGACAGCAAAATAATGTATTAAACTTACCCCTGAATGATATAAAAACTCTGTTAACTTCCTTTTGTTTAATTTCGCATATAATTTCCATATCTATTTGAAAAAAACAACAACAGTCGACCGAGTTTTCTGTTGTGTACTAGAATTTTTGGAGATTGAAACTGAATGTTCTTTGTAGGCAGTTTATTCATAACCGTTTTAATACACTTCAAGCTTAGGGCTTTTGAAAACGTCGTCGTTGTATGAATAATTTGAGGAAGAACATCTGCAACTTAGTATTAAAATAATGAAATGAAATTATTAAATC